TGATTATGTCAATGGCTTTGTATTTTTAATGAGTATATGTCTGTTGGTAGCTGCCCAGAGTGGTAGAATATATCTTTGCTCCTCCTACTCTGCAGCTCAAGCTTTCCCATTTGCCTCCCTCAAGATTGGACAGGCTCACACATGCTGCTTCTCTTAAAGGGAAAGGCAAGTCTACAGAGGGGTGGAACGTGCTATGCACTCCAAGCATTACAGGATGTTAAGATTGTTTTAGTCGTGGATTCTCAGTATTGATGGGAAATTGGATGATATGACCCTTGGAACCATCTCCAACATTACAGCGCTATTATTTTATGAAAGGAGACTTTTGGAAAGATGTCTGGGGAAAAAAAACGCTCCATTTCTGTTTCACATGATTAATAATTCAGAAAATGATTCCTTCTCCTAGAAGGAGGGGCAGCTAACATACAAGTCAGAAAGATGTCCCCATGCTAACATGTTCTTAATAGGCAATTAAAGGCAAGCCTGTGCTTATTCTAAGTGTCTCTTGTGGTAACAGTTAATTAGCATGATAAAATCCTCATTTTGTTTCCTGCTTACTGATGGTTCTCCTGTTCCTATTCATGAGAGAAAAGAAATGGTAATTTACCCTTGTGAATTCTAAAGATAATTAAAAAATGTAGAAACTGTTTTGACCCTTATTCACAATAAGACCCAGGTGCAATAAAATCGGGGGGGGGGGAGGGGAATTGTGCCCTAATGAAGTGGAAACTGTTTAACATCACAGTCAACAACTGCAAAGTGATTGCTAATGTGGAGCGGAGGGGGGAGATAACCTGGAAATTTTGATTAGGCCTTCTATGACTTTCTGCAATATGAGGGACAACAAAGATATGGGTACTACTACATTGATAATCGCAGCAACATTCCATGATTATTGATTTTCATATATATATTTCACACTGAAATCACAAAGTCAGATTGCATGTAAATATGTGTAACCAAATCCTAATGCTCTTTCTTTTCTTTTGTATGTCAAAAAATAAGAGATGGGAAGAAATTCAGAAAGGGGTACATGGCATGTGCATGTCTCCCTGTGCTTAATCACAGATGAGAAAAGTTACTCTTAAAAAAAAAAAAAAAAAGCCAAAAAATAAGAGATGGGAAGAAACTCAGAAAGGGGTACATGGCATGTGCGTGTCTCCTTGTGCTTAATCACATATGAGGAAAGTTACTCTCTTTTTTTTACAGCCTCCAGAATCCAATGACCAGTGGCCATTTGTGCTGCTGTGGGGCTCTGGAAGTTGCAGCCCAAAAAAAGTAATTTTCCCCATCTTTGGGCTAATGTTTTCTCTCTTCAAAATTGTCCCAAACATGCTTTTTCTAAAGATTCTAAATATTTATCATTCCACTTGTGATGTACGAATGAGGTTAAAAAATGACACACTAAGCAAATGTCTCAAAAGTCTTCATGATATAACAGCTCAATGACAACTATCAGGCAGTACAACATGCTTCATTGCATATATTCATTCCTTTTAAAGAATCCTATGCAGGATGACTCCAAGGTAAGCCTTGCTGAGCTTGATGAGACTTAGTCCCAGGTAAATATTCATAGAAATACAGCATTAAACTTATGTAGGATGCAGCTATTGATGCTGTTGACCTCCTTTTGTCAGTTGTCATGCAACCATTAAAGCTGCAAAAACGTGAAGTTGTTTCAGTGTTATATAATCTTTCTTTATAATGTTGTGGGATTCAAGCACCTGTTATGTTATGGGTTTTGTTGGACTATATTTTCCCCTAAACACTTGTGTGGCACTACCTTTTACTGTCTTAACATTTATAGGTTGATAGTTTTCAATGTCTGTAAAAAGAACCCAATATTTATTCCAATCCTAGTTCCTGCTTAACATCTTGCAGCAAGGGGATAAAAATGAAGGAAAGCAAAACATGTGGGGGAGGAGAAAGCAAGAATGGCAATTTCAAGGAACATGAACAAATAACCAATTACCAAAATGGCATACTCATTTTTCTCAATTTCTTCAACACATAAACAGAGTAACAAAAATCAACGCTAGAGCCTTACCTGTTGTCATGTCTTGGAGCTCTCTTGATAGCCACAGTGGGAGAATATTAAACTTCACCATGAGTGCTATCTTTTGACTCTGTTTGCTCTTAACATCACAGACCAAGTGCTTCATTCTTAGTTAACAGAAGTGGCCACATCATCTGATACTTTAGGTAGTATTCATCTCAAAGCTCTTTGACTGAATCCCACCCCCCACCATTGTTGGCTAAAGGCTGGCTCTCACTTTGCTTTTTCCTAATTTAGGGAAGTAGGAAGAAAACAGGGAGACATCATACTAGTCCCTATTCCGTGGAATAAATTAAAGGAATGAAGCTCTTTGCAGCTGGCCAGTCCAGTATTTGCATCTGTCAAATCTACAGATGAATTTTCTATTGCAAAAATATTGCTTTTTCGGCTCTTTTGTCCTCCATTTATACATATGTCCTTTAAATGTGAGTAAAATAAAGGAAAAAGTTAAACAAATAAACTGAGAATATGCTAAAAGAGTTTTGGGAGGTCTTGGCTAGCCTGGAGTATTCAAATAATAACATAAAATTAACCTTCCCTTTGACCTCCCTCATTTAATTATAGTACTGTTTAATAAGGGACAGAACGCTACTGGATTAGGTCATTTGAAAGAGGAAGGAACTCATGTATTCAGGGCTCTAAATAATGATGTTTTAAGAAGTAAATTCCAGACTGTTTAAAAGAAGTATGAGCTTGAAGGAATCTTTGCAGAGAAATATATTTAAATAAATATATAAAACCCCATATACTTTAATGTGAATAAAAGCAAAATGATTTAAGCAGATGCTACCGCTTGTGTGGAAACCTGAACAAAAAGTCAGAATATTTTTTCTGTAAGAAAAAAATCTGAAACTTTTTTTGTCTCCCTGAATTTCCTTTTTGTCTTCTTAAGCTTTTATTATGAAGGGGCAGCAATTTGCATGGGAATGAGGGTGTGTTACTTATTTTTAGTTGCAATTGCTGCTTTGTGATAACAGAATATTGGCAAGAGATGCTCTTAATAGGAACAATCTTGGCTGAGATAACATCAACAGCACACTCTCTCAGCTGAGATATTTTTAAAAAATCTAGCTAAAGAATCAGCAACTTAGAACACATGGATTTTTTTCCATGCACAGGTGACAAAAGTGCACAACAACTTGAAACAAACAGGGATTCTCAGATCAAAAGCTCTGATGAAACTTCTATTTAAATATAACGAAAACATGAAACTATCACAACTATTATCTCCTCCAGTTTCCTTTTAATGTCTTCCTGAATGGCAAGACTCATCATTGTACTGTACAGCTCTTCCTCTTTGTTACACCACATACTGTTGGAATAAGGTAGAATTCTCCCATTCATTTCAGCAGAACCAAGTGTGTAGAAATGAGCAGAGCATTAAATCTTAAGTTTCTACATTCCTGCAAACATCTCCCATAACATTATCTTCGGTCTTACTTAAGACGTGGCATGGTGGTAAGAAATTCTCATGGTCCAACTGTCCACCAAAGAATCAATTAGCAATATGGAGGGAACTAAAGAAGAATTTTTAGATACAGTTACCTTGCCTGTAGTTATGTTTGTTTTTTGTTACCATTTGAACAGGATCATAACTAGGGTAGGGTAACTGGCACTTTGCCCTCTTTTTTAAAGCATAAACTTTCTCTGTCTCTTGAGGAGGGATCACATTCTTTCCCTTTATTTTCTTAGGTGTGTTTCCATGCCTCAGAGTGGGTGGGGGACAATGTCAGTTGCCCTGAGTGCCAAAATTGCTGGTTACAGCTCTGGTCTACAGGCACTACAATATAAATCTGGCATAACAGAACAGTAGATCTGCAAAACTACCTTTTTGTGCAGCTTTAACTCGTTTTTTTTTTATTTAAAAAAGTAGTAGTTCTAGAGGAACTCCATGGTTAGTGATACTGTTTCATGGAACTGACGCTGCTTTGGGTCTAGCATTGCTTACCAAGCAGATCATTGGGTATAACTTACTCAGACTGTATGTCTGTAACCAAACAGATAACCAAAAAAAGGTCAACCTAAGCCAATAGTTAAACACTAATAACCGCAGATGATGAAGAATAGTGTGTAGGAAAGTGAGCCTGTCTAGCATGGAAACAATCTGGGCTGTCAGAGGATTGAGCCACCCTCTCCTTTAGAAATGTAGTGGGGGAGTGGAGGAGGGATAGATTTCAAGATACAACTACACATGTACATATGCAGGATATTAACCACTGTGGGCATATTTATAAGGCTGACATAAGAATGCCAGAAGTCCCTTCTCTTGATGGAATATGACCATTTGAAAAGCTTCCCTAGAATATTTCATTACTCGGAATAAACCTTAGATGATCGTTCTGAGAATTTATGTATATCCTCCAACACACCCAAAAATATGTTTTATTTTTTAAACTGCATGCCTAATCCCTTAGAAGCATGAATACTGAAGAAATACCAGACAAAGTGGTCACTTCTGTGGGTCAAACTCTCTTGACATTTCTGTCATCATCATCATCATCATCATCATCATCAACAACAACAACAGTTCTTCCTGTTCCCGAGAAGGGCATACAGTACCTGTTGTTTCTATGCAGTACTAAACTGCCTCTAAGGCTATTTTCCCCAATACAGCAGAATGCTATTGAAATACATTTTCAGTTCTTCCTGTTCCCTGGACTTGTCTGTGAAGCCAGGAAATATAATATTTCATTTGCCCCTTGAGAAATCTCTCTCACACACATTAGATTCATATATGCCCATCACCAATCCTCCCCAGTCTCAATAACTACCAAAACCATATATTCAGACACATTTTAAAAACCAAAAATGAATCAAGTGAAACAAGAAACATATTGTAAAATAGCAAAGAAAACAATGTTAATTTCTTTTTAATATAGATATATTTGCAGAGAGAGAGACAGAAAGAAAGAAAGAACAAAATGAAACTTGAGGAAAAACTTACTGGTGTTACAGTTTATCCTGATACAGTCTAGATGGGGAAAAATAAATGAAAGATGAAATTGCATCCTTCAAGGTAACAGCTGCAGACATCCAAAAACAATCAGTCCACCCTTCCGGGGACAGACACACGCAAAGAGATGTGGCCATTTTATATATATATTAATATACGTTTTGTATAAGCTCAGGAATAGTTGTATCTGTATTGTATATTCTAAAGAAATGTAGGATCTATATATCTACTCTAGTATTCTGTGTATGTGTGTCAGAAATGTGAGCATGTACATATTATATACCTCCATGTGTGATATACTAGATTATTGTATGTGGAATTCAGATTATTTTCTTTCACAGAAAAATGGTGCCTTGATTATTACACAGTAATTCTAATCAAGAACTAATGAACAAAAATAGCTAGGATGTTGATAAGGTACAGATATTCTTCCTCAAAATGCAAGTCATTCCCCAGTGATTTAAAAAAAAAAAAACACTGTTATGATTCTTTTAAAGCAGTTTGATGTCTAAAGCTAACCTTTGTACTACATCTTTTGAATGACAGGTGTCTTTGCATTAATGCACCATCTATCCAACATAATATGCCTTCAGGTCTGGCTAGGAAAGATTTTCAGGCACAATACTTAACCCTTTCTTTCCACTTCACTTGAAAATAGGATCATTCCCTTTGTGATAGCCAAAAACATTTGTTGGGGAGAGTGTGTTGCCACTGATCTCCACAATGAGAAAACAGTTAACATACTGCCTCTAGTTCCCTGTCATAAAATGGCCACTTGCAAACAGCTAACTGCACGAACGCCCAACCCAGATTTCAGTGTATTTCAGAGGGTTGGGGCATATTTGATTGGTTGGAGAGGGTTGATACAAAGGAAGCCAGCCAGCCAGCCCTTCAGAGCAAAGTCTCACCTTGCTACCTGAATGTTAGGATTGAATTATGCACCTACAGCATTCAGGTAAAAGATGAAATAGGCTGTGCAGTGGCAGATTTGGACATCTTTGACAACCCTATGTGCTCCACTCAGATGTTCCAGGGAAAATGAGGGAGGGGAGGGAAAGGTCCCATGATGTCATTTGCACTGTGCAAAAAATAAACAGTAGAATAGGAATTTCAGCTGGGGAGTTCTGATCATTCACTGTTAAATACAAGATAAATTTCAGGTACTTGTTCATAACATCTTTGGCACAAGAGTTCCTAAGCAGGACCTTGCTTCTTTCACATTGTAGGTTGTAAACATATTTTCTGTTAAAATGTTAGTGTGTTCAATTTAACACCTCACAATGCCGAATTTCAAATATGATGGACTTCTCTTTACTCTTAAAGCCAAGGACAGAAGTCAGAGTTTCATATTTAGCAATCTAGTTTAAGGTTATTTACATATATGTATTTATTTCATGTATAAATGTAATTTATAACAAAACTATGTAGTCACATTTATATTTATAGTAACCTATTGCTCATAGCCAAAAGCATGGACAGTTGAAGATGGCCTTTGTTTCAAGTAGAGTGGATTACATTGGCTATGTGATCCTCAGGCACACAACTTCATTCTTATATTCTATTCATTTGAAAAGATGGTCCTTACAGATTTACTGAAATAAAAGGCATGGGGAAGAGGGAGGGAAGAAGAAGAAGATTGACAATCTGAGTGACAAGAGATGAACCAATTATGAGAATTAGAAGCCACAGAGAGTCTGGTGTTTAGCAGAACTTCTCTTAAGAAAATATGGGTTTGGTTTCGTGCGATTAGGTTTGTCATGTGTCGTCAACCGCAACAGAAAAGTGGGAGCAAACAGTCCTTGAGCATGTGGTACAATCACCATACAGGAGTGGCTATATCCCTTTTACAGATGTATGTTGGTGGAGTGAGACACAATAGATAAACAAAAGGGCTTTTCCCCCCCTCAAAAAAAATAATAAAAAAAACCCACACAACAAAAACATTCCCCAAAATTCAGGGACAGCAGAGGGGGGAGAGGGAGAGAGAGAGAGAGAGAATTGGGGAAAAGTTACATTTAGCAGATGGGTATTATGCCTGACACAAAAAAAAATTACATTTGGCATATAGAAATGAGCAAACCAATAGGTTTGCTATTAAAGTGGTGGTAATTACTTTTGTGACCTTGAAATGAGAACTGTAACTAATTATTTTTTATCAAAGTAACTTCCCAAGCTCTGAAGGAGTGAGCAAAAAGTCACTAATCCTTCGCAAAAGGATTATGCTTGTATGGTAGGAGAATTATTGTTGAAGGATAAATGTAAGCTAGCTGGATATGTCTGCCTCCCAAGGCAGGAGCTTCATTGCACACCAGCTAGAAGGCAGCTATGGGAGGAGGGATAGGTAAGTTGAATGGCCATAAAACATAAGCCTGAGGGTGTTCTGTGATGCTCATCTACCAGACAAGAAGGCTGGGGATTGAGGGTGGCTGTTTCAATATAACTGGCCATTGCATTCACTCTCAGGGCAAGCTTTAAGCAAGAGGGTTAATTTTGGGGCATGTGTGAAACCATGACTCACTGAATTCTCTCTCTCTCTGTCTCTCTCTCTCTTCTTCCTCCCTATTTCCTCCAAAGAAATGTGAGATCTGAATGTCACATTCAGGCTTCAAGTGTTTACAGAGCCAAGGTTCAATATGTTGTGAAATGTGTCACTAAGAGAGAGAATAGCTTTCCCCAAGTTCCCTCCTAACAACTCCATAAAGAGCAACATCCACACAGAAGAGTCTTCTTCCCCCAACCCTCATCCCCACCAAAGGATTCCCTTTCCCCCGGATTCAGTTTTGTCTCAACAGTGTTGTGCAGGTGAGAAGGATATGCCAGCTCCTGCAGGCTGCTCTGTACGCTCTGTTCGAAGAGCTGTTTGCTATGCGGGCCGCAGGCTTCAGGCCTTTGAAGGGTTGAATACCATCTTTTGATATACCATGACTGATGTGGGGAGGATATAAGGAAGCTTTTACAACTTGGATACACAGCGTAAAAAGATCACAGAAAAGACCTTAATAAACAGACAACCTTTAAGAGAAACCAAATGGAATTAAAACTAAAAGGGTGGAGGGAGAGAAGGCAAGCATAGGAGTCTTTAATACTGTTCAAAACAGTTTTTGCCAGTATGTGTTTCTGACACATTAGATTATCCAGATTCCAGCTCATCAACCTCTTGTCTTTAATTCTGGACTTGTAAATTTTTTTACTGCAGGTTATCAAAATCTGGGCTTTTGTTTATGACCAAGGTTTAGGTGTCATTTCCTCTTGACTCAGGCTCATCTCAGAGATTGTTATATCATAAAGATCCAAATAAATGTCCCTAAACTGATCATGACTGGTAAAGAGTTTTTCTTAAGGCCTTCTATTTGACTTTTGTCTTCAATAGTTTGACAACTCTGGCCATCACAGGGAAGTTTTAGACACCAAGGGACATCTGAAACCTCTGCAGACCTTGACTGCTGCATAATTGAGCTGCCATTCTAGAAGTCACCTTCAGATCTCTGCAGGACTGAAGCTCCATTTTTGCAGCCAACCTGGAGAGATGCTGCAGTCACTACAGACAAGGTATAGCAGACAAGAAGCTTTTGTTTTATTAGGGCTTATTTGTCTCGATATAAAATATTTACATCACCTGGTGGGGAGAAACACACAAGACATTTGCCATATCCGGACCATCTCTCTCCACTACCAATGCAATTGCTGAAACAGGAAGTATGCATGTTCTTGTTTCTGCCTCCAAATCTCTACTCTATCCATGTTTCTCCAAATGTGAAAAAAGTGCAATGTTAACCCCAAGCAATTTCATCAGAGCCTTGTGGCACAGGGGTTAAGTTGCAGTACTGGAGTCAAGCCTCTACTCACAACCTGAGTTTGATCCCAATGGGCTCAAGTAGCTGGCTCAAGGTTGTCTGAGCCTCCCATCTTTTCAAGGTCAGTAAGTTAAGTACCCAGGTCACTGGGGAGGGGGCAATGTGTAACCTGGATAATTATAAACTGCCCAGATAATGTTTTAACTGCTATGGGGTGGTATATGAGCAACATACCTTATAGGTTTATTTGACCTTAAAGCCAGTAAAATCCGACAACTTGGTGAGAAGTTCTGAGAATACTAAACTCTTATTTCACTGAAAACTCAAGTACTGTGGTCTTTATATGTCATAAGATGGACTTTTCCATCATAAGCAATCACTGACTGAGGTTAAAAACATGATAACATCTGGGGGTTTCACTGCCTTTTGAATGAGGACCTCAGAATGTGTGCTGTCACTCACAGGTGAACACACAGTTTTTCTAAGAGCAAGAACAAGAGATACTTTCACTTTTGATAAGTGGTAAAAAGTGGTTGGCTCTCCATTTCCTAAAAATGGCTAGCTTTTGCTAACAGCAGAAAACACGGCTGTTTGTCTTCTGCAAAACAAATGATAAGAATTTTTTTCCAGTGAAAGCACTAAGGAAGGAAAACACATTCTATTTAATGGAAGAAACGGCATAGGTTCTAATCAGAAAGATCCAGGTCTCCATGCCAATGGTTGTTGTGGGTTTCCTGGGTTGTTTGGCCATGTTCTTAAGGTTTTTCTTCCTAACGTTTCGCCAGTCTCTGTGGCTGGCATCTTCAGAGGAGAGGAGTCAGAACTGACCAGAGTACAGACAGAATTTTGACTCTTGTCCTCTCAAGATGTCAGCCACAGAGATTGGCAAAACATTAGGAAGAAAACCCTTAAGAACACGGCCAAACAACCCGGAAAACCCACAACAGCCATCGGATCCTGGCCATGAAAGCCTTCGAGAATATATTCTCCATGCTATGTTTTCTCATCACTTTGGGCAGAAGATAGTAAGGGAAAAGGTAACATTCTAGCCTAGAGATATAAGCAGAGATGGATTTCTCTTGTTCTCTTTCTTTTCTTTGGAGGCTGAAAATAATAGTGTATAAATTAAAGTGTTCTTTGAGTTGGGTACAAAAAGGTGCTTTATACAACAGCAACACAGCTAAAGGCAGGTTGTAAATACAAGATAAAACAATCATAATTTCCCTTTTCAGCAGTGTAAAACCTGTAAGTCTTCCATATAGAGCTTTGTTTGCATCTAAGGTAGGCAATCTAGTGAGTTCCAGATGTTTTGAATGTGGTAGTGAGATTCCTTGGAGTTGTCATCCAAAATAACTGGATGTCAGCAGGTTGCCTATCCTAAGTTCGCTTACACTTTTCCAAACATTTTTACTCAGCTGGTTTGTGCCTAAACATTTTGCCCTACTTTTCTTTTCAGAAAGACCTGAAAATCAGTGACTCCACTTTCTAGAAGGAACTAGGTAGTAAATCGGAAAGTCTTCACTGCAGAACATTGGCCTTTTATAAAGGCAAAGCCTCATTTCTATGGTTTGTTCCAGTCCCCACACTTTACTTGTACTGTTTTGAACAATAGCAAAGAGATGGAGCAATGAGGATGTAATTGATCAAAAGATGGACCGAAAGGCATGTAATATACAAAGCTAACCAGTTCAAGAACAAGAAAGGAAACTTAACAACAACAACTATAACAACAACAACAATAGAAAGAGACTTAAAACCACATTGTCCATAACCAGGAGTTAAAAATCTTCATGCAGTGATGGCTGGAGAGGTTGTTTCTCCATGATTAATATAGTTACAAATAACACATCAGCAGCTACTTATAAGTCAATCCATCCAAACCAAGGGGGCGGGCGGGGGGGGGAGACAAACAAGAAAACAAGCTCCAGCTAAAAGCCAAGGGGGAAGTCTCTGTACAATACCTAGATTGACCATGAGCTTGACACGGCCTCCATCCAGCTCTAGGCGCAGGGTATCAGCTGAATCGCGTGATGTTGTGGCCATGAGTAGCCCATAAGCACGCTGAGACATGAAGCGGAAGGACACATCCTCTGCCTCTGTATGCATGACCATAGGCATAATGATCTTCATATACATACTGCCATCGTAACTCAGGATGGAAGCCTCTGAAGAAACAAAGAAAATTAATACAATAAATGATGAGCAATATTGAATCCTTTAGTTCTTGAAGTAAGCTGTAGATAAACTGTTTTACTACACTTTACTATGCACAAATGATCTCTGGCCAAGAGATCTTTAACAGACTGCATTATTGCACATGGTTTCTCCTCACATCATAGTAAAAACCTGCCATGGAGGTTAATGATTAGTATCAACAATGGAACTTCTGTACGTGTCAATTGGCCATTTAGAGCCAGTGTCCACCCTTTTATCACAATGCCCAGAATCTCAACTTTTAAGGCTTTGTTCTTTCCTACAAATCAAGATATGTTATGTCAGTTGACAGCTGACTCTTAAGTCTATGGAACAAATCAACAGTGTTTACAAAGTTGGTGAGAAACTGGTTTAAGTCGAAGAGTAGATACATCTGCTACCATATTTGTGTCTTCTATATTCAGAATAAAGAGGAGAGGACTTGAGTTATTGGGGGAGTGGAGAACTGGACTAACAGATCCTCAAAGTTCCTCAGCCACTGTGGCTCAGTGGCCATGCTGGTTAGTTTATTCTGGGAGTTGCAGCCCAAGAAAAGTATATTTCCCAAGCTTTGGGAGAAACACACATGTTGCATAAACTTTGAGAGATACAGAATGCAATCAATTGTGCAGGAAGTGACTGAGACAACACCTACTCTGCAACTGTTTCCTAACCTGGATAGTTAAAGGGGTCCACCTGTTCCAGACCTGTGCTGAAGATAAAAATGCTCCTCTCGAGTCAGGGCTGAGCAGTGATGGCCTTCCACTTGTTCCTGGATTTCAATTCCTATAATCTCTCACCATTGGCTAGGAATGATGGGAGTTGTGGGCTAAACTTCTGGAAGGCCTCTATTTAAATAAACATGAATGGGACTGTTCTATCAACATTTTTACAAAGTATTTCTACAACTTTCTATTATTTGCTGTCTCTCCCTTTAATTTTATACAGAAAAAAAGATGATGGGCTCTTTTTTTTTCTGTGCAGTGTTCCTTAACACACACACACACCCCCAATGGCTGCCAGCATGGTCAGTGAAGACAGACATCTTTTCGCTCTACAGAGTTCCAAGCAATCCTATCCTCTACAGGGATTTTTCTGACTCATCTGCAGATGCTGCACCTGAAGATGTTCCAGGTGCCTAGAAGCAACCTAAAATGAGAAAATGTGGTTAAAAGGAGCCTTCCAGCCACTTTATATATCACTGGAGGCATTCATGAGAAAATTAGACAATCATCTGTTGAATATACTTTGATTTGGATTCCTGCATTAAGCAGGAGGTTGGGTTCGATGGTCTGATAGATCCCTCCCAACTCCCAATGATTCTGGTTTTTGTGTTTTTTAAAAACAGACTTTCATGAAGATCCCACCATTCTTGCACACAAATCTCTGCATTGATAAGCGTGTAACTGAAATGGTCTAAACGGAAACTAATTTATCCCTGTCTAAATCAGATATACATTGTCTGCCACAGAATAACTCCATAGAGGGCAGGGCTGTATAAATCATGTGAGATATTCCTGAAAACCAGACTACAGAACAGCTACATAAATGGTCGCACATATGATCCAAGCAAGACGTCATTTTTATGGAAGAGTATACAAACAGATGTTTCCAAAACCTCAGACATATATGACATTTTGCCTACAGAAGTGTCTCAGTCTGTAGTGTCCCAGGCGCCAGCTGCCAGAGAACGTGTCTTTTCTTAAAATGTAAATCCCAAAGTTCTTTCCTTCTGAACTGCCACAAATGAAGAAGCCATTATAGGCATCTGGTGCCATACACTGAGTCATGGGTCTGTAACACACCAAAAGCCTACACCAATTTCTTAATATGCAGCAATCAGTTCCTAGCCCCTGCCCCCCCACACACTGCAGATGATGAAAAACATGGATTATAGCGAACACTGTTTTAATAGTGGGCACTATACATTGCATGGTCTCTGGCTCCCTTTGGTGGCCAGTTCTGGTAACTTCACCCTTAGAAAAATATATTTCTATGATTTTCCTTTTAATATTTTAAATCTTTCCAATGAATCAGCAGATACTGATCCTGTGAATAAGTTGCTCCTACTGTACTGCTGTGCTGGCAGAGTTCTACAAGAGGATAGTGGCTATCATATTAAATATTGCCAATATGGAGAGATGAGGGGGGGTTTGCTATTAACTAATAAAGAGCAAAATATTGTAATCAATTGCATTTGCATTAATGGCTGAACTCCTTAGGTTATGCTCCCTAAGGCTTATAACGACATCACCTGCACTCATTTTTCGGAAACAAAAACATTTTAATCCCTTCCCCACTCACTGTCAAGGTCCCAAGTTTCCCATGGAACCCCTGCTAACCCAGTACCAGTGATTTTTTAATTAGATGAAAGACATTGCCCCATCTTGCTGCTCCCAATGGCTTTGCCACCACAAAAAGGATTCTGTGGGGGCTATTAATGGGGGGGGGAATCAAATATTTTGTATTTCTGAAAAGTTGTCATGGCTGATAGTAATGATACTGTTAAAAGGTAATGTTAATTTTAATGCTCCCACAGCTACACTCCTTATATAGAGTGGGTGCATGAACAAGATTTCACTCATAAATCCATTAATTAGATCATTATATCCATGACACGATAATTAAGAGTACATTCCATTCTCAGTATATACCACTTTATATATAAGTGGTATACACTGAGAATGGAATGTACACTTAATTATCATTTCATGGATACAGTGATGTGCTAAGACTTGGGAAACATGGGTTCAAATCTATCTTGGCCATGGAAACTCACCATGGAGTGCCAATGGCGAAATTACTCCTTAGACAGCTAACATACCTTGAGAGCCTATTAAGAATGCCCTAAGTCCAATGGGACTTGATGACACATAACAGCAGCAGGACATCTATTACTAGCTCTTCTAAAAGTGGCCTTGTTGTCACTTTGCCACCTTAAAAACAACAATAACAATTTTAGAACTGCAGAGTTGGACAGAACCCTATGGATCAAGCCCAGGTCCTATCAAGAAGGTACAATGGGAAACTCAAAATCCTAGGCTCTGCAGCCAAGTACCTAAACCACTGAGTCAGCAGTTCTGTCCTCAATCTGCCACTTTTTCCATTTGAACTACAAATCTCATAATACACCTGCTAGGTAGGGATGACAGTTCTACCATTTGCAACTTTGTAGCTGTTTTAGTTACACTGTTTATGCTCCAGAAAGCAGCCAGTTACAGGCAACGTCCAAGCTACTTACTTCCAAGCTTTGCGTAAGTGCTATTGTTCCCCCCTCCAACTTTCTTCTCCCTGCTTTCTCATGAAGTAACTACTTCTGAACACTGGAGGGAAGCATTTATTCATGTTGAGTGAAAATGGAAAGCATATTTTGCAACAAAACAAATGGAAATTATTTATCATCTCCGTGTCCCTAGGGCTTGGCTCCATTTATGCAGCCAAGTAGGAGAGAATTAAATATCGTTCACAAGCATTTCACACAGTATCAAAGAACTATTATTACTATTCTTACTGAAGCTCCAAGTACATTATTTGCAAAGCCAAGACAGAATTGCTTTAAAAACGTATGATTAAGATGTTAAAACTCAGAGAACTGCTTGGAGAAAAGAAGAGGGAAAAAATCTGGAATAGGAGAGAAACAGCAGCTTTCAAACAGCTCCATTTTCATAAGAATTATCATTCCTTCGAAACTGGAAATGATGCCAATTTTTCCAGTATCCACAATGTACTTGAGTTTCTTTGTACTTTAAAGCAGATAAACTAGACAAGGTGGCTTGGACATTAACATGTTTATCCTTACTTTATTAGTGAGCTCACATGGAATGTGTAAAAGGAAGAAAGAAGTTACAAGCAGATTTTGGAAGAGCATCAGTTTAAAAAATAACTTCAGTTACAAAAAATGGTTCCGGAACTATGCCAATTTCTATGGAAAATTGTCACTATTATCTCCTGTTTGTTGAAAATAGACTGCCTTGCCACAATAAGACAGCTTGTTGAGGTTTAGGAACACAGGAAAGCTGCTTTATACTGAGTCAGACCATAGTGACTATCTTGTCTAGTATTGCTACTCTGACTGGCAGCAACAACTCTCCAGGGTTTTCACAAATGATTTCCCCCCCAGCCCTACTTGGAAGATCCCTGTACTTTCTGCTGCTTTCCTACTCAACTATGTACTAACCAAGCCTGGCTCTATTTTGCTTTCTGAAATCAGATGAAGCCAGTTTGCTTGGGACGGAGCAGTGGTGTTAATCTCCAAACTTATACATGCAAGAATGGCCCTAGAAGCACTTTTATGAAAATGTTTTGGTGAACATGTAGTGCTTTTGTATTTTTGTGAAGCTAAGTGCACAAATATGGCAAGCGCAAAAGGATAGGCTGATTGGCTTCCCGTCTGCAAGAATGTACAACTGTGTACAACTATGAGAAAATCCATGAATTGGAGCATGAAAGGCTGGTGGAGAGCATCTGCGTAAAAATCAAAGGAAAGAGAAACAAAAGCAACGTTGCTGTGGAGATCTCCTACTGACTCCTAAACCAGATCTGGTCAATACCCTCTTAGATCTGATTACCAAACACTCAAAAAGGAAAGACATTATAGTAATGGGAGGCTGCAATTCCTTTGGTATCTACTGCAAGTCCACTTCTGCCAGGAATGTAAATTCCAGCCAGTTCCTGATTGGCCTGGCTGATAATATCATCTTCCAGAAGAGGGAAGATGCAATAAGAGTCTCAGCTATCTTGGGTATGGTCTAATTAACAGGTAAGTACTGTTCAACAGAATTGAATAATGAGGACCAGTGATCATACTCTCTATAAGTTTGTTACAATGAGAAAAGGGAAATCTGGTAGTAGGATATCAAGAACTGTGGACTTTAAGAAAGCTGATTTTAACAAATGAAGAGAATACTGTGTCATATCCCATCGTCAGAAATATTCAGAGCAAAGGGAATCCATGACGGATTGGTGTTTCTTA